GGTTGCAGCATGCATACAGTACTAAGTGAATTTATGTACTCAACTAAAGCGAGTTTCTACCTGTATTTCTGACCTATAATTCTGCCTGTGTGTATTGGGCTTGCCTGGCCAGATTTTGGTAGCACGAGGGCTGTAAGGGTGGCTTCTGCAAGAAGCTGCTAGAAGCTTCCCCTAGGCCTGGTAGAGCCAATGCCAGCCGGCTCCAAAGACAGATCCACTGCTGGCCAAGGCTGAGCCCATCAGTGATGATGGAAATACCTCTGTGATAACGTATTTGAGAAGTGCGTGAAAAGAACTGCACCACCCAACAACTGGGAGAGGGAGAATATGTGCAAGATACCAAGGTCAATGAAGAAGGAGAGGAGGATGTGCTCCAGGTGCCAGAGCAGAGATTCCCCTGAGCCGCGGGGAAGGCCACCGTGGAGCAGGCTGTCCCCCTGCAGCTCACAGAGGTGATGGGGATGTAGATGTCCATCTGCAGCCCATGAAGGAACCTCTGCTGGAGCAGGTGGATACCTGAAGGGGGCTGTGACCCCAGGGAAGCCTGTGCTGGAGCAGGCTCCTGCCAAAACCTGTAGGCCGTGAAGAGAGGAGGGCACTCTGGAGCAGGTTTGCTAACAGGACTTTATGACCCCATGTGTGACTCCTGTTGGAGCAGTTTCCCCCTGAAGGATCGCACCCCATGGAGAGAACTCGTGCTGGGACAGTTTGTCAAGAACTGTCTCTCATGAGAGGACTCACGTTGGAGAAAGTGTGTGAAGATCATCTCCTGTGAGAGGGACCCCACAATGGCCCAGCAGAAGAGTGAAGAGTCCTCCTCTGGAGGAAGAAGGAGCAGTGGAGACAACACCTGAGGAACTGACCGCAAACCCCATTCCCCATCCTCCTGTACCACTCAGAAGGAGGAGATTGATAAATTGGGAGTGATGTTAAGCCTGGAAAGAAGGGAGGGCTGGGGGAAGGTGTTATGCTTAAGATCTGCTTTTATTTCTCATTGCTCCAATTTGACTGTTAATAAATTTAGTTAATTTCCCTAAAATCAAGTCTGGTTTGCCCAGAACAGTAACTGTGAGTGATCTCCCTCTCCTTATCTCAAACCATGGGCCCTTATATTTTCCTCCCCCCATCCAGCTCAGAGGCGGGAGTGACAGAGCAGGTATGGTGTGCACTTGGCCACCAGCTACAGTCAAACCACTACACTGTGTATTCCGAATGCTTCCAGCTTACCAGAATTTGAGCAGCCTTTACTCAGGCAGCAAAATATATGTTCATGACATCGGTTACGCTACCACCAAATCTCATGCTCTTGCTCCTACATTTGGGTACACAAGAACAAACAAACTGCCACTGGAATATTCTTTGACACAGGTAGGTGATGGATTTTATTTTGTCAACAATGACATAACAAATGTAAGTTTCATCCAAAAGACTAAGAATTAGTGACAACTTGATCCAGTCAATTCTTTAAACTGAAAGAGTGGGGACTGCTTATTCATAAATACTGGATTTAACTGGTTAATGAATCTTCAGATTCACTTTCAGATTTTGAAGAGTTATAAAAGCACAATCTATAAAGGAGGCCTGTACATTATTAAACTGTAAGGAATTTAGGCACAAGTTCAGTGGAATTAGTCTTGGATTTCAAGAAGTGTTAATCTTGGAAAATCAATGCAGCAAATATAGCTCAGCAGATAATACATGTCATTCATTATTGTACTCGATTACATGTTTTTTCCTGAAAATAGCACATTCAAAGTTTCCTCAGAAAAGTTCAAATCTGCAGTGACAAATGCACCATGAAGTGCTAAGAAAGTGTTGTGGCTGGTTTTTGTTTTGTTTTCTTCTCAGACACAGACAGTACACGAATTCAGAACTAACAAAAAAGTAAAACGTCAGTTTGGTGAACCTGCTTAAATGCCAGGAAAGTGAGAGGAAAAGAAATCATCAGATATTTAAAAGTTTTCTATCTGTGTGTGTACATGCATGTGCGCATGTGTGTACACATGCCTACATATATACTAAACTATGCAGGAAGCAAACATAAATCGTATAAAAGAAAACAGTTGGCAACAGGTTTAGCCTATATATGGCAAAACATTTTGCAGTAAAGATAGAAATGGTTTTCTAGAATTGTTTCTACAGCTCAATCTTGGCCACACAAAAATTACTGTAGGTTTTGTGTCCTGAAGGAGATAATTCTGTCAAATAGATATGATCATATATTTAAGTACAATGACAATGTTTGAGTGTAGCTGAACAAAAATTGCGTTGGAAATTACCAATTTCCTCCTTGGCAGTTCTTGTCATTGCAACCTTAGTCTAATTTCTGGCCATTCTGACAACTTTTGTGCACATCAGTGTGAAGTTACATATTATTTCTTTTAATGATGGCTATTTTATAGGAAGTCACCATTCACAGCTGTTCAAAAACAGAATGCAAATGAGATTTACAGATGGCAATGCAATTCAACCTTCCCAAGGATAGACATTTGAAATAAGCACAAGAGATGCATGGCCAAAGATTTTACTCGCATTTAGACATAAGAATCTCAAACTCCATTCCAGATGCAGAAGAGGCTATTTGTAGGCAGATGCCTTTTGTTTTCATTCTTCACTTAAACTGTATTTACCACCCAAAAAAGTATATACCTCTCCTATCCTACCGTCCATCCTCTTCCATCATTACAACTGTTCACCCCAGTCCTCTCATGAGAGAGCTCATCCTTGTCTCCAATCCCCAGATCTTCCCATCTGAACCCCACTGCCTATCCATCCCATTTGCTCTCATACTGATTCATACAATTTCTCTATTCTTTCAAAGCTTTTCCTACATCTAAACGGTCATTGCTTGCCTTAGTAGCTCCAGGAGTCCAGCTATAAGGTTCAAGCAACTCTAAATACATCATATTTATCTCTGGCATGCAAACTTGGTCACATCTGGGTGAACTGAGAGGAACTACAAAGACAATCCTGTCTGAAAGCAATGGTAATGCAGCTCTTCACAAAAAAGCTCTTCACCCTTTCTCCTGCAAATAGTACAGTTAAATCATTGGTTAGATGCAAGGTGTTACTAAAATGCACACTAATGCTTGTTCTAAAAGCCACATGTTTTTTAAGGCTCACAACAAAATTAATATTAAATTTAATTAATATTGTTAATAATAATTAATAATTAATTAACACTAATAATAGTATTAGTGTTAATATTGATATTAATATTAATTAATAAGTAGTTATAATGCTAACTAATTATTAATATTGCTATTTTCAGAATATTAGTTATGTCCTCCTGATCATACATCTTGTGTAACAAATTCCACATTTCGAAGACAAATGGATTCTATTGCAGAAAACTATTTGAGCTTTAGAAAAAATACAGGAGGAGAACTATTTACAGACATCTTATTTATTTGCTCAGTTCCACATAGCAGAAGCATGACAGAGAATTCTACATCTGGCATGACAGTGAAACAGTTATCTGTGCCAACCAACACTGAAGGCTATATTTTGGCAAAGAAATTTCCACTGCTGCCATTTTTCCAACAGATTTATTTCCCTGAAACCAGAGAAGGCAGCAAGACAAAATAAAAATAAAAACACCTTCTGTAAATTAACATTGTACATTTCTTAAACAGAACAAAATCAATTAACTTATACAAAGTTTCAAACTGTTATAATACTATAAATACAAGCATTGCTGAAGAGTGCCACATCACCTTCACATATAATTCCAAGAATTTTTTCTAGAAGTTAGCATGCTCTTGACTGTGTGGTAAATATCTTTTCCTACTCCCCTGGATCCAAATTCAGCCTTGGAAGTATACCCAAAACCTATATTTTGAGGACATTAAATCACATCTCTAAATAAGTTCACTGTTGACAAGTAAATTAACTTCTACTCTACAAAAAAATAAACCCAAGAAAATTCAGAATTAAGAATGACAGTCCATCCTCCCTCTTTCATTTAGTGCCTATTACATTCGAAAAACATTTGAATCAAGGCTGGACATTCAAGATCATGACACTTCTGATTAAATCATTTAAAAAGATAATATGATGTAAGTCAATACGCCTGCTTGACTCTCGAATCTTCCTTGCCTGTATTTTCTATAAAAGTGAACATACAAGAGAGTACTAATTTCTAATACCTACTTAGAAATTTTATTTTCCTTACATTTTATTATAAGTTAATCACCTACACATCTGCTTTTAATTGCTGCAAATTCTTAGCAATTCACTCAACATAAAATTTCAACACTCAAGTGACACGATACAACTAGAAAAAATAAAAATACAGTAGCAAAGTCAGTAGCTCCTACCAAAGTCACATAAAATTGAGGCTAGAGGGAAAGATTCACAGCTCAGAAAGCATCTCTGTCAGAACTGTAGCAATATTTGGAAAGCTACAGATGGGAAGCCATCACACAAAGGTAAATGACACTCCTCAACGGATCATGTCACAGTAAGTTATGATGAAACATCATGTAGAGGACACAATACGTTACAGGAAAATAAAAAGCAGAGATAAGACAACTACTTGAAAATGCTGCAAGGTAAGACTTGGCTGTTTAGAACAAATACTGGTATGTCTATTCTCAGTAACAAGTTTCAAGGAAAGATGTAAAACCACACCACTTGAAACAGGCAGCAGCCATATTTGAACTAACTAAAAAGTCATAACTGCCTAAAGACAGGTGCCTTGTTGCACAACAGTGACGGATAAATCCAAGGTAGCCTTCTGCATCCCAACTCCTAAAATAGACTTTTTAAGATGAAAGCTTAACCTCAGTTTAGCCAGGACGATCAGAATACTTTTCAGAACATAATATGAAGACGATGTTACAGCACTGCACACTCACCCAGCACAACGAACGGCCTCTCACAAAAACAGCAGACTGCTGAGCTACATGGCCATGACCAGCCTTGGCCATTTGCACTTGAAAAAGCAACGAAACCAAGGTTTTTAACGTTTCTTTTTAAAAAGTAAAAACTGTACTTACCTGTGATATTCCCCAACATATCTTTAGTGTGGCAAATCAAATCTTCACCTTCCCCTTCTTTGAAGTTGCCTATTTCTCCATAATAAAGAGCAATCCCAAGTTGCATTATACGTATAAACATAGGAAGCTGCTGATCTGAAATTGATAGTTTCAGACTTTCAACTAATGTGTGAATCTATCAGAAAAGAGAATAAAAGCAAATTATAAAGTCATCGCTAAAGCCAACTTTTAAGCCATACAACTCCATATTCATTTTGTATGCACATTTTAATTTCTTAAAAGCTGCAATACAGCACAAGGCAAAGGACAGCAAAAACATACATTCTTTGGGTTGCTACACAAGAGATCTGAAGGTGGAAAAGTCCAGTGTAACTTATGGTGGATATATATATATATATATATATCAGCAATCGTGGCCGAGGAAATTTCTAAAATATAAGTAACAAGTGCATCTGATTAAACTGTTACTTTTATTATAGAGTCTCAAAGAATCTCTGCATGTTAAAGAAAATCAACATATACTGGTTTTAATATGCAAGGTCTTTTATTTTTATTCCTTCCCCCTCCCAACATTGTTGGAAGTGGACAAGTAACAGAGGGAAAAGGATTCATTCTAACTGCAGTGCAGAATATTGGCTTCTGTGGCTATTCCAGCTCAAACATGCAATTAATTACTGCTCTTTAAGTGAAAACTTTTCAAAGAATGTAATTATTAGGAATAAAATTCATCCTTCTTTAAGCATTTTAACTATTTTATTCAATGTTTCCATATATTTTTACAAGTATAGGATCAAGCTATAAAGCCAAAAACAAATTTGGTAAGAAAGCTACCTTCATTAAACTAAATGCTGCATAAAATAAAATTTTTATACTAAAGTTACTCTAACATTAGACATATTTCTAGTTCCAGGTCCAGTTTCTAAATGTTGAGGGTGAATAATGGAAATGGAAAGCACTGACCTTAATGCAATTCAATTCAACCAATATGAAAAGTGATTTTGTAAACAGTACTGCACCTCCATGGACAGTACAAAAACCACAGTAACAAAAAAAATTGTATAAAAATATGCTAATATACTAATAAGACTTTACTAATAAATTTCTATAAGTAAATTTAAAAAGCCACAGCCTTATTCATGCAAAACGAGTGACAACCTAGTATCAGCCATTTATACAGACTCAAAATTTTTAGCTATCAGATTTCTGCATTATTTTAAATTTTTGAAAGAAAACAGCATATAAAATCCTAAGACGTTTTGGAAATTAAAAATTAATCCTTCAATACCAATTTTTCAAGGCCAACTGATTAAAAGTTGTCAGTAATAAATCTTTTCTATGCAGATAAAAAACAGGCAGGATAAGGAGATAATATCTGCTTTAAGATTTGGACGAAAAAAAAAAAATCATTTTGCCAGAAGCCTTTTTAAAAGTCACACAAGTGGCATACATCATAGTGAAGGACAGCAACACTAGGTAACACTGCACGAGATTGATATAACCTCGGAGTGAGAAGAGGAGAAGACGCAGGGGTGACCTTATCACTCTCTGCAACTACCTAAAGGGCAGATGTAGTCAGGTGGGGTCAGGCTCTTCTCCCGGGCAACCAGTGACAGGACAAGAGGGCACGGCCTGAAACTGCATCAGGGGAGGTTTAGGTTGGATCTCAGGAAACACTTCCTCAGGGAGAGGGTGCTCAGGCACTGGGATGCACTGCCCAGGGAAGTGGTGGAGTCACCGTCCCTGGAGGTGGTTTAAGGAGAGGCTGGATGTGGCACTTAGCGCCGTGGTCTGGCCGACATGGTGGTGTTGGGCCATAGGCTGGACTTGATGATCCTCTGAGATCTTTTCCAGCCTCAACAATTCTGTGATTCTGCAGTGGCTTAAGTGAAATTACCTTATACTCCTCAGCTTCTTGTACAGTACTACCCTCCCATCATGATCCTGCTCTTAACATCACCAGTGGAACTCATCCACCCCTCAGTAACCTAACTCACAGCAACACGTTTCAGTGGTGGACTTGGCATTGCTAGGTTAATGGTTGAACTCAATGATCTTCAGGTCTTTTCCAACCTGAACAATTCTACAATCTCACTAAAACTGGCAGAAAACTCTTTATTTCTTCTTGTCTGACTAGCTTTCTGCCAACACAGTGAGTTGACTTCGACGAGTGACAGGTCAGGCAAATCTTAGCGCTGCTGCAATTAGAGGGAGGCAGGACTGGCTCTGGCTGTCTCATCCAATGATGATTTCAACAAGAAAAGCAACAAGAAGCTTAAAGCTCTAATCATGTTTTGCCGTCTCCTCCCACACATACTATTTGCATTCTAAAATTGAAAATAGGCACTTAGTGTTCCCAATTTAAAAGCATACAAATACAAAGGCAAGTACTTAAGAACTGTACTGCTTTGAGAAGTATTAACTTAAACTTGTTAAGATTAGTTTGGCCAAAACTTTGCAATAGATGTATTAGGCGAAATTGCACAGGTTACAAAAATATTCTAGTCCCTACAAAGGAACCAAAAGATCATATGTTATTACAAAAATCTGGAAGTCAAGACTGAAAAGCAGATGTGTTTTACCACGTAAACAACACAAGAGTATGAGAAGTTTTCATCATTAAGATCTTCACAGATTTGGAAAGATCGAGTGCTGCTAGCTTTGGCCTTTAGCTGCAAAGGTTTTTATAAAACTTGAGAAAAGCCTGGTATAAAGACAAACTGGGCACAGAGTGGGTTGAGA